GGCTCCAGCGTAATCGGTGCCGAGAGAGAGTGTCTCCTCCGGAGGGTGCTTTGGAGCAATCAAGTCAGGCACTAATTAGCCTCCAGATTGTCCTCTGGAGACCTCCACTCCCCTCCGCCGCCGGCGCAGAGACGTTCAGTGTCTAAAGTTAGCGGTGGTGGGCACGTGGGTGTCCCCATAACCCACACTGCCTGCCTGGAGGTCTGGGGTCTTCTGGGAGGAGATGTGTCCCCTGTGTGGGTGACCTTCACAGGGAGCCTGGGCAGGTGCCAGGGCTTGCCCCGGGTGACATCCACGGGAGCTGTCGGTGCCATGCTCTGCCCAGCCCCAAGAAGGAGGAGAGGATGTGGGATGCCATGGAGCACCTCTGCTTTCCAAATCCTGGTGTTTTCCAACCCCGGTGGCGTTTTCTAGAGCCACGTCCAGGTGACAAGCGGTGCCATCAGACCCCGCGGGGAGCTGCGCTCGCAGCCTGGCAGCGAGTGGGGAGTGGGGCACCTGCGCTGTGGCACGAGCAGTGGGTCTGGGGGTACCGGGGTAGCGGGGAAGTTCTGGGGGGTTGGCAGCCTCAGGGCCATTGCTCTGGGGCACAGGGGATGCTGCCGGAGCGTTTTCTCCACCCGAGATGAGTAAATCCTCAAGAGAGACCAGGTTTTCACTCTGGACTTGCCAACGGGGCGCAGCTCATGCCACCACCTGCTCCGACTGCTCTTCTGTACTCTCCCGCCCACGTACGCATCCCTGCTCACTTCGTCCAGAAAAATATTCATATGTTTCCTCTTTTTCTCTGTGTATTTTTTGGGGCAGGCGTTTACAGAGATCCAGAAGAAGCGGCTGCTGTCAAAAAATGGAAACAGCAGGTGCAGAACCTCTTTCGGTCTTTCCCTCGGAAATCCCTCCTGGAGCTGTCAGGCTATCGGCAGCAGAGGAGGTACGCGGAATTTCGGGAGGGGAGGGATGGATGCAGTGACCGGGGGGAGCCAGCAAGAGCATCTCAAGTGGGATCAGTGTCTCCCAACAGGGAGGGATGGATCCTGCCAGGTTCAGAGCCATGTTTTGGGCAGGATAATAATTGGAAAAGCTTTGGCAATAATCCCTCCTGGAGCTGTCAGGCTATCGGCAGCAGAGGAGGTACGCGGAATTTCGGGAGGGGAGGGATGGATGCAGTGACCGGGGGGAGCCAGCAAGAGCATCTCAAGTGGGATCAGTGTCTCCCAACAGGGAGGGATGGATCCTGCCAGGTTCAGAGCCATGTTTTGGGCAGGATAATAATTGGAAAAGCTTTGGCAATAAAAGCCCCAGGTGTTGGCAGGGGAGGGAAAGCAGCAGTAAGTTTTCTTGCATATGTGGTCAGTGCCCACCCCAGATCCCGCCACGTCTCCCTGGCTCCGAACCCAGCGCTTCCCAGCTGCGCAGCGTGTCCCGGCGCTGGGTGGCCGCCTCTGCCCCTGCTGCTGCCCTTTGCTCATTCCAGCAGTGCTGGGCTTTCCTCAAAAAGCTGTCAACGGGCCAGAAAAGGCTTGAAGGCTGCAGAAGATGCGGAGCCGGACGGCTGCGGTCGAAGAGCCCGGGTGGGGACATGTTGCGAGCACCGTCTTACCTTCATTCCAAGGTGGTGCTGGATTCTGAGTGATCCTAGAAAGAGATGAGGTTAGGGCAAGGAGAGATGGTTTTAGATCCGTTTTAACAACAGCGTTCGCCTTCTCTTCCGGTCTGCTAAGGCTGGTTTATCGCAGCCTCGTGCAAGTTGTTTTTTCTCAAAAAGAAAGCATTCTGGAGATAACTGGGAGCATGGGGACAGCGGGGTGTGAGTTCAGAAGGGATGAGCACAGTACAGCAGAATAGACAGGAGCAGAATTTTTTGGTGGAGCCCTTTGATCTGGGCCATCACAGGCATGAGGTGAGGCTGCTGGCTCGAAACGGTCCCTATCCCTTTCCCAGGGTTGCCCATGACGTTCTCCACTTTCCTTGCTGCTTTTGGGTGGTTTGCGTTTTGCATTTCTTCTGCTCCTTCTGGTCCTGGGAAGGTGGAAGGAGCTTCCTGGGCGAGGAAGGAACACATGGCCCTTCCTGCCTTTCTCATGGGGATTTAATGGCAAGAGCAATTTTTGGATGAGGTTTACAGAAACCCCAGCGTTCTTCTGCTTAGTAAATTTATCCGGTTTCGGGATCCCAGCGCATTAGTGTAGTCTGAAGCATGTTTGCATCCACCCGCACGAGCAGGAGAGATGAGGGCTGGGAGGAAGGTGAGCTGAAACATCTGTGAGGGCGATTAAGTGCTAGAGAAGGGCAGGGGGAACAGGGAACGTAAGAGGAACCGGAGCTGGGGCATGCAGGGTGCTCCTACCCTTGGCGGTTGGGCCAATGTCACGTGGTGAGGAGACCCACGCTGCCTGTTTTTCCAAGGATTATCTGATTCTTTTTCATAGAACCATCATAGAATCATAGAACAGTTTGGGTTGGAAGGGACCTTGAAGATCATCTAGTTCCAACCCCCGTGCTATGGGCAGAGACACCTGCCACTACACCAGGTTGCTCAAAGCCTCATTTTTGTGTCATTCCCCTGGTTTTAAGTGGAAAAACTCACATGGGGAGAGATGCCGGAGTGTCTGACTCTCCCTGAAGAGGAGGAAAGATGGTTTCATGTCCTGAGATCAGTGTCTTGGGACATTTGGGCTGTGTGGTCTTGGGTCCAGATGGTTTTGCTCTGACCCCAGGGAGCTGGATGAAGGTTTGCAGTGCGGAGACAGGAGCAGGTGCAGAGCCAGTCCCACCTCTGCAGGAACGTGTCCTGTGCTCAGGCCCTCCCTAGAAAATATTGGACTTGTTTGGTCATTTTAAGCAAATTTTACAGAACTTGGAAATTCTCAAAGAGGACTTATGTTTATAAAAATGAACCTCCTCAAAGGGGAAGAGATCATAGAATCACAAAATGGTTTGGGTTGGAAGGGTCCTCAAAGATCATCTAGTTCCAACAACCCTGCCATGGGCAGGGACACCTTCCAAGCCTCATCCAACCTGGCCTTGAACCCTTCCAGGGATGGGCCATCCACAACTTCTCTGGGCATCCTGTTCCAGTACCTCACCACCCTCAGAGTCAAAAATTTCTTCCTTAGATCCAATCTAAATCTCCCCTCTTTCAGTGTAAAGCCATTAAGATCCAACCCTTCAAGCATTCTCAGTAAAGAAAACCCAACAGCTGAGCTGAACCTTTATCAGACACCAGAGAATCCACACAGGAGCGCTCTCTTTTGTACAGCTCAAAGGCATGAAGAGTTTAAGTGAAAACCCCAGAAATCAGGCACCGCGGGCTCCAGCGCCCGGGGAATCACCTGCTTACGTTTAAGAACAGATCCGTTTTGCAGGAGCAAAATAAACTTTAAAAAATAAATAATGTGAATCTGGGAACTGCAGAAGGGAGGGAGGGTGACTGGCAGAGGGGAGGAGGAAAGGAGGGC